TGTTCGTACAACCCCATCAAGATAAGATAACTGCGCGAGAAGTGACGGTCTTTACTACCAAAACCCTATCTCCGCGAGTACCACTTGCATCACCTTACACACACACGTACATCACGATAAATATCGGAAGGCAGACTTACCTCAGCTAGATTTACACCAAGTATAAGAGCAAGTGGCTGCCCCGCTTGTCGCTTGTCGTAGGTAGTGGGGTTGATAAAGGTAACCTGTTTTACCTACCTACCTAATCTAGTGTGGCACTTACGGGACCGTCGATGCATGCAAGAAGCACGTCAATATCCTAGACTCATCTTTCATCCCGTTTACTGTAACCTACTGCAACTTTCCCCGCTTCTTCGTATCCGTCCGAAATCCGGCACTCTCGAAGCTTCACTTGGCATCAGACATAACTCCCAAGGCCTTCCAAGTAGACAATAGATCGTGTACGGGCCATTACGTGCAGCATAGAACAGTCTACGAAGACATATCTGTATCTCAATAGAAACGTCAACATGCCTCTGATCGCTTCCACGGGACGGGACCGCATCATCCTGGGTCTGATGACCTTTGGACCGGACGAGTCCAAGGGCGCTCGTATCACCGACATCAACGAATTCAACAGGATCCTAGACACCTTTCAAGCACGGGGTTACAACGAGGTGGACACGGCGCGGGTCTACATCGATGGCCAGCAGGAGGCTTTCACGAAGCAGACCAACTGGAAGGAGCGCGGACTGACGCTGGCCACCAAGTTTAAGTATCCTTCCGAGGCCGGTGGCTACCAGGCTGCTAAAGTGGCTGAGAGTCTCGAGACGAGTCTCAAGGAGCTGGGCTCTGATTCTGTGGATGTGAGTTTGCTTTGGGTCTTGTCTTCTCTTCACTTACCCGCTTCTCGATGCTGATACCCCAAACCCGTAGATCATGTACCTCCACGCAGCCGACCGCGCAACGCCGTTCGCCGAGACGCTCGAAGCGGTAGACAAGCTGCACAAGGCGGGCAAGTTCGTGCGGTTCGGCATCTCCAACTTCACGGCGGCCGAGGTGGCCGAGGTGGTGCTGACGTGCAAGTACAACGGCTGGGTGCGGCCGACCATCTACCAGGGCATGTACAACGCCATCACGCGGGGCATCGAGCCGGAGCTGATCCCGGCGTGTCGGCGGTACGGGCTCGACATCGTCGTGTACAACCCGATCGCGGGGGGGCTGTTTAGCGGCAAGATCAAGAGCGCGGACATCGACCCGGGGGACACGAGCCGGTTCAGCACCAAGAGCAGCACGGGGGCCAACTACCGCAACCGGTACTTCCGCGAGTCGACGTTCCGGGCGCTGCAGACGGTGGAGAAGGCGGTGGAGAAGCACGCGGGGCTGACCATGATCGAGACGGCGCTGCGGTGGGTGGTGCACCACAGCCAGCTCAAGATCAAGGACGGCAACGACGGCATCCTGATCGGGGTCAGCTCGCACGACCAGCTGACGAGCAACCTGGACAACCTGGAGAAGGGCCCGCTGCCGGCGGACGTGGTGGCTGCGCTGGACGAGGCGTGGCACATTGCGAAGCCGGACGCAACCAACTACTGGCACAAGGATCTCGTGTACACGTACGATACGCGGGAGGCGCTGTTCGGGGCGAAAGCGAAGTAAGGTGCATAATCTACCTACATACATACCTAGGTCAGCATTTGGAGACATGCATGTCATTTCTAGATTGGAAGATGAGACCAGAGCCTAGAAAGATGAATTGTTACTGGAAAAATGCAGATAGATGCAGAGGAAGCAGAAATGATCACGAAGCATGAAAAGGTAGAATGTGACCCCGGTAAAATAAAAGATAGGTGGTAACACGACAGCAGGGCTGAATGCTACTTCCCCTTAAACCAGGGTCAGAAGGTTACTGTCATCCGTAACGACCCGTAATCCGGGAAGCGGCACCCTAAAAACAGTTACCCGTGAAAGCGTAAAAGCGTGCCAAGATCCCTTACTGGCCCCGGTAATGTCAATTGAGTTTTTGGTGCAGGGGGCCAGGGGGGCTACTACATTATTTAGTCGGGTTTAGGGTGTCATTTGATCAAGTTCTTGCATCTCGAATATGCATCTCACACGTCTTCGTGGTTGTGCATTTTTACATTTTTCTTTTTTTGGACGAATAGGAACCTGACCTTTAGTCTCTCTCTCGCTGCATCTCGCTGCATTACGCTGCATCACCTACGTAAGAATCCATTAACTACGTACTATCCTTAGCCTACTATACCTTGTTCTTAGTGTAGATAGGACAGATAGGATACTACCGATACCGATTACTTTCTCTTTCCACTTATTGTATTCCCATATACCGACACTTATACATCTTTATTCCTCCTTTCATGTCGAATTCCAACAACATACGGCTCTCCAGCATTCCTGCTCGCTTAAAACCTACATCCAAGTACTCGAGAGCCGAGCCGTCGCCCCAGCTGTCCACACCCCTATCCGCCAGCTCGTTTGGTTCCAGCGTCGAAGACTATATCGGCAGCGGCACCGACACCGTAGGGGGCAGGACACCCGTCTTCGACAAGCGACTCTCCTTCGTGCAGGAAGACGACGAAGGCTCCCCGAGTCTCGATCTGAGCCATCTGCGCAGTCCCCGCCGATTCGATATATTAAACGATTCAGAGTACGACTCGGAAGACGACAACGACAACGACATGCCTGATACCAAGAGACCCGGCTTCCTACGCCCGTCCGATGGCCGATCGGGCACGCCGCTGTTGAAGAAGAGCGACGACCCTGATGATAGAGGGAGGGCACACGCACGCTACAACAACTCGAGACCGACGTCGCCGTTGCCCCTACCCCTATCTGCCGCGACGACACCGACGCCCACCCGTCCTGCCTTCAGCCGACGCTCGACGATGCGGTCGCGATCGCCGGACACGCAGGCGCGGATGGCGGCGCGCAAGAAGTACACGTACGCGGGCATCTTCCTGGCGGTGTCGCTGGTGTCGTTCTGCGCGCAGGCGGAGCTGGGCCGGTACGTGCAGCACGAGCTGGGCTGGGACAAGGCCTACTGCATGCTGTACCTGACGCACGGGTCGTGGGCGCTGCTGTGGCCGGCGCAGCTGCTCATCCTGCGCCTCCAGAAGTGGAACATGCCCTGGCCCGCCTTCTGGCGCCGCCACGTCTACATCCTGCGCTCCACCGCCCACATGGTCGCCACCCAGGAGCTGGACATCCCGCGACATGTGCTGAGGACGAGCCCTGTGCCGTACCTGCTGCGCACCACCGCCTTCGTCACCACCGCCCTGACGGTTGCGGGATTGACCTGGTACGTCGCCGTCAACATGACAACCCCAAGCGACCTGACGGCTATCTACAACTGCTCGGCCTTCTTCGCGTACGCCTTCAGCGTGCCGCTGCTCAAGGAGAAGCTGCGCCTCGACAAGTCCGTCGCCGTGCTGATCGCCATCGTGGGCGTCCTGGTGGTCGCGTACGGGGACTCCAAGGGGGCGGACGACGGCGGCAGCGGCAACGAGACGCGCACCGAGGCCAGCACGCGCTTCCTGGGCAACATGATCATCGGCGCGGGCAGCGTGCTGTACGGGCTGTACGAGGTGCTGTACAAGCGGTGGGCGTGCCCGCCCGAGGGCACGTCGGCCCACCGCGGCATGATCTTCGCCAACGCCTTCGGCAGCTGCATCGGCTCCTTCACGCTGCTGGTGCTGTGGGTGCCGCTGCCCGTCTTACATATCCTCGGGTGGGAGACGTTCGAGCTGCCCACGGGCCGCGCCGCCTTCTACCTCGTCGTCTCCGTCGTCATGAACGCCGCCTTCGCCGGCAGCTTTTTGGTGCTGATCTCCCTGACCAGCCCCGTGCTCAGCAGCGTCGCGGCCCTGCTGACCATCTTCATCGTCGCCGTCGCCGACTGGCTCATCACCGGCCAGAGCATGAGCGCGGCTGCCATCATGGGCGGCTGCATGATCGTCGTCGCCTTCCTGATGCTGAGCTGGAGCACCTGGCGCGAGATGACGGAGGACGCCGAGCGAAAGGCTGCCGTCGACGCGCCGCCCGTGGATTGGAGCGACGACGATAGCGATAAGGACGGGGATCGGCTGGATTAGGCTACCTAGGGGACTGACTACTTACCTAAGGGAGCGGGCGGTGGAAATCTTGTTTTCTTGTCCTTTCGTCCCGTCTCCTTTTTCTTCCGTCGGGTGGAAAAGAGAGGGTTGTTGGAATACTACCTAACATAGGCAGGTATGTATCAACGCATATAAAGAAGGGCTCATCATCGTCGCATTTCATTAGACCGGGGCGATACTAGACGCGAGAGGTTGCATTGTATCTTATATTTCAGGTTTCTATCTTGAAGGATCCTAGGGAGGCTTAGAAACGGGGAATGGAATGGAACGGGGTGGCGTGACGTGGCTAGATGCTGGACGCGAGCTACGATAGACGGGGGAGATGGATAGTACGTGGAGGAAAGGAGAACGAGGGATCTGGGAGCTATGCAAGTCCTGCTTGGTCATACTGTGTGTACTGAGTTGGATGCGGCCTTGAATTTCATGTCGCGGAGTTAACAGGGCGTAGGCGTACCGGATTACACGGGTTCCATGGATGGGCACGACCATATACGGATCGATTAGGCTCGTACTAGGCATCACCATCATCACTTGCCTAGGTACCCGAGCGACTTGGTAGTCGGTCGGGATCAAGGCACATCCATAGGTACATACAACTGGGGAGTTACGGGGTGGTCAGAGGCTACGAGCACCACCGGCTCGTCAACATAATCATCAACTATTTTCAAAAATATGAAATCATTACGAACTAATTTGAGATTGGTGACCGTAGAACTTACATCTAATCCATTTTGCAAGACGCGTAATATATAGTGCTCTCGCATCTGGGTAGCATGTGATGTTCTAGTGTCTTACTCATCATATGCAGGTGCCTAGGGGGGCGCGCATAAAACAAAAGGGGTAAAAAATAAAACGTTGAAAAAAAAAACCATTAAAAAAATTAAGAATTGCCGGGGGTCAGATTCGAACTGACGTCTCCTCTGGTCCAGTCCGCTCATACCCGTATACCGTGCTGTTCGTGTTGTACTAGCAACCGCAATTTGTGTGGTGCTTGACATCCTACGTGAGCCGGATTGGGTGTCTAGGGTTTCTAGGAGGACTACGGATGACCGAACCAAGAGGCGTCTCTACCACTCTACCACCCCGGCTTAGAATTCTAGTGTCTTTTTATGCTATATAATCCTTTCGTTGGGTTGGGAGTGGATGGTGGGGGACGAGGTTGCTCTGGGAGACCCGCGGGGACATCGCGACAGGTTGCTGTTGTCAACTTAAAAACAGGTACCTAGGTAGATAGGAGGTAGGTAGTTATGCATGCCCAGGTACGTACGATGGTATTCAATAGGCAAATAGGTACATTAATCACTATCAAAGACATACACATATATGCGTCCAACACCTGTAGTAATTACGTTTCGATGCTCCTACTCGCCGTTTCTAGGTTCATGCCTGTTTCTCTCCATCTTCTCGCAGGGCCCGTCCGAACAGATCGCCACAATGTTCAAATATCTTCGTTCTTCGATCTCGTGAGAATTCAAGGGCTTGAATTCCCCGTGACTGGTGGCTGGGCATTCTGTGAATATAGCCACATGGCGGAATACGGTAGGCGGGAGACGCCGTTGAAGGCAACCCGTCTTAGTGATTCCTTGCTTGTGTTCTCGTCAGCCGACCTGTCCATCTATTTCGACACGGCTGCAAGCTTGCTGTGTGCCGTGCCCGAATGAGTGTCTTGAATATTGAAGTACTCCTTCTTGCTATTTTAAATCGACCATATTCCCAACCCTCGTAATTCTGTACGTTCTAGAATCCTTCGAGTAATTCCTACCTACATTGCGCTAAGGATGGAGATATCCGAGAAGGCGAACCGATAAGGAGGTAAGGAGACAGGTTGTACTGACAAAAGCGGACCTTCAAGGGAAGTCGTAGCTCCGACGTGGCCGTCGACCTCTCGTTCCGTAACCGGGGCATTTCCCTCCTCGTCGTACTTGGCGAACACACCCTCTCGCTCCACCTTCCAGCCCGAAGCTCCGCTGCGCTCTACGAACTGCACGGCCATCTCCCAGGCCTCCTTGTCCGCCGCATCGCCGCTCTCGAAGACCTTGAGCGAGGACCAGTTCACGGAATGTCCGACACCCGCGGAATCAAAGGTCAGCTCGCGCACGAGGGAGCTGTACGAGGTGTTGCGCTCCATCCAGAGGTCCGCCGGGTCGATGTGCTTCATCTCGTCCTCTTCCTCCAGGATCCGGTTTCCCGGGCGCGGCGTCAGCTGCACGAAGAGGCGATCTACTTTGGGCAAGTGTCTCAGGAGCATCTCGAAATGAGACGACAGCGGGAAGATGGCGATGTAGTTGAAGTCGACGACGGTATCCGGCACGAGCGGGTTGTCGTTGGGATGCTCTTCGCACCCGAGGAGCGCCCCGAGCATAGATGGTGGCCGCCGCAGGAAGAACTCGTACGTCCGGTAGACCTTGGTGGACGAGCCTTCGTTGAGAAGTAGCGAAGTCCAGGGACGGATGGTGAAGAGGGGACACGCTGGCGGTTTCCTGTATCGGATGGCACAAGAGCTGGAAGAAGAAGCTGCCGTCGTGGAGCCAGATGCTATAGATGTGGAAGGTCCTGGAGTTGAGACTCGGAGATCCGAAAAATGCGTCTCTATGTGCGCATCAGACGACTTCTCACGTGAAGGGCCTCTGGTGGATCGTGCAAGCGAAAGGATGTGGTACGGAATACTGAACGACCAAGCATCGTCCAGGAAGAGCATCCGTGACATGAAAGCGGCAAGTGTAGTAGGAGGTGCGATGATAGTAAATCTGAGAGGATCGATGATGGAGAAAAGCTGATCCCATAGCCACTCGAGGTCGACAGTACGTATCTCGGGGGTCACGTGTCTAGCGTCAGCCTCCTTATCTACGAAGTCTACGATCAGGGTGAAAGTCGTAAGCCGGTTCAGCTTGTTATCCTCTAGAAATCGTAGAAGCGGGATCGGGTTCAAGGTGAAGGCCCTCAGCGAGGACACCTGGGGCCTCCATAGGACGTGGCGGAACAGACTGGGGAGGACCAGCGTTCGCCAAGTCTTGCAAACCAGAGACACGGTCTTGAGCCTCAGCGAAAGCGGAGACTCGACGTCTAGCATGTTATTGCATGGCTGGTCGTGTAGTCGCACCTGCGACGGAGCTGGTCCATCGAGGAACTCAAAGATGTGCAGCAGCAGCTCTGGAGGTACGCGGTCCATGGTAACCTTTGGAGCTGGATGGCACGGGAACAACGATGGTGTAGTAATTGCTAAGGTACAGCTAGTCCGTGGCAGGCACCTAGAGAGTTCTAGTTTGGTATCTGTTTTGATGTCGGCATTCAAGTGTGACTAGTAAGCTGAGGTTGAGGCTGAGGCTGAGGATGATGATGATGAGATTTCGTTTCGCGGTGACGATGTTGAAGTTCAGTGTTATGATACGGTTCAAGTCGGAGGTGTCAAGGATTACATACCGGGTGTGGTGTGGGGTCACCGTCCACACCCCGCTACGGTAATTGTTTATGTACTTAGGTGATGACTAAGGCAACAAGGTTAGCTACATATGACATAACTAAATATATAAAACTCACGCTATTAGGTCCTCCTCTTATGCATAGTTCTTCGGCTTCTTTTAGTCTCTATCACCTTATTAATCTTATTCATTGTCTCGATCAAATTAGTACAGTTATCATCGAACCCGCTCTTATCCTCTTCCTCTATTTCTTCTCGTAAAACACGCAGGTATACATTTAAAACTTCATGCATCTGGTTGCGGAGGCTTTTGACCGGAGGATCCTGCCCTTGACTCCATGCTGTGCTAAACCTCTCCTCTACTGGCGAGAAAGGCTCGTCCATACCGAGCGCTGAAACTGGTCTCTCGTCCGCGGTGGGCGCTGGGGCTGGCGACTCTCTCGTGGTAGGCGCTGGGGTTGGCAACTCTCTCGTGATAGGTGTCAGGGTTGACGACTCTCTTGTGATATGTGCTAGGGTTGACAATTCTCTCGAGATAGGCGCTGGGGCTGGCGACTTTCTTGTAATAGGGGCTAGGGTTGACAACTCTCCCATAATAGGGGCTAGGGCTGGCAACTCTCTCGTAATAGAGGCTAGGGTTGACAACTCTCCCGTGATAGGCGCTAGGGTTAACGGCCCTCTCGTAATAGGGGCTAGGGTTGACAACTTGCTTCCAATGGCAGGTTTGGGGGCTAGGGCTGGCAACTTGCTTCCAATGGCAGGTTTGGGGGTTAGCACATTGCCTGTAGGAGACGCTGAGGATGGCTTTTCGGTTGCGGTCGGGGCTAGCGAATCGATCGCGGTAGGCGCCGGGGCTCGCACTGACTGACCTAGGATAATTGAGGGAGAAAAGGTCTTAGTCATGCCGTTTGTTTTGGACCGCTTAGTTGGTCGGTGGGAGCATGTTTTGCCATTACTGTTGTTGTAATGGCACCCAGCGCAAGCGCCATTAAGGTAGCTACCAGGCAAAACAATACAATTTCGAAAAGGTCCAGTATTAGCTTTGCAAGATTCACAGGCAAGCTCTGGGGGTAAAACAATGCCAACCATTGCTATATAAACGGCTTCGTGATTGCTAGGTAGTGACGACAACGTGAGATTAAGCTGTCGATACGTGATTGACCGATTAAAGTAGTATCTGTTGAGGCTGACGGACCATTTTATTGGAAGCTTTGGATTGTCCATCATATAAGCAATAACATTGCTTGTTCGCATTCGTCTAATCCTAGCTATAGCCCAAGCAGTATATTTGCGCAAATCGGCTTCCTCTTTCACAAGCGGTTGTTCTTCATTACCATTAAATTGATATGGATCGTTTGGGTCGTTTGGGTCATATGTAGGGGGAAAGTAATCCTTCCCTATCGGATTTTGATCGAGAGTGTTTACCAAGCTCCAATCAAGACCTAGGTTTTCGTTATTACTCAAAGGCACATTGTCTTCAGTAAAGAGTTCGAAGGTCCGCTTTGCAGTGAAGTTAACTGCTCGCGTGGAAGTGAATTTAGCTGGGGATGCAGGCATCGCGTAAGCAGGTAAGTAGGTCTAGGTATTGTTGATTATTGAATGGATGAAATCTACTCTCCAAGTCAAAGCTAAGGTATTTAGCTATTCTATAGGCAGGTAGGTAGGTAGCTAACTTGATCAGGGAAAACTTGTGTATTCTAGGAGATAGGATTTCTAAATGCACCGGTGCATTTTGCAAAAAACGGTTTAGTGCGTACACTTTATTACACTTTTGGGTTAGGGATTGGTGGGGCCGGTCGGATTTACCTTTTAAAAAATATTAAAATTCATCAATTTTACCACCTAACATACAATTGCTAATTCATCCGTATTCAAGTCATCCCAAGTCTTTTAACCAATCCTGTTGCGATTGCTATTGTAAATGAATTTCATAACTGAAAATGGCTAGAAACCTATGGGTGGCACTAGAACTAAAGTGGCTGTGGTGGCTGGCTGACTAGAGGCCTGGCGATTATGAGATGCGCGATGACGTAGCAGAAGTATAGGTACCTGAGGTTTTATTATACACACCGCGGAGTAACAGCTCGGGGTTACAAGTGACTATTAGAACGTTGATGCCGTATTCACCGACGTGATATTTAAGGTAGATATCGAAGAAGGCAGAGGCAATATCGAATGCTACCCTACGGATTACATGCAGTGGAATCCGGGTTGATATGCTGAAGAATTCTCGACCCAAGGGTGAACGCGGTACGGTACAGCATTATCTATGTAGAACCACCATCCTCCAAAACCGATATGCCACCCGCGGGGAATTAACCAGGAAAGGGTAGGTATCTTTGGCGTTTAAACATTGAACTGGGCATCACAGCCACTATAAAATAAAACCATATAGAAAATGTAGGTAGGCCAAACCCCTATTAGAATATATTAACCTGAGAGATAACATGTTCAAAATTCTCAAGCTAGCAGGACATCTAAGACCAAGACGGATTTTACCTGGTATCCGTGACGGTCTTCCGGGATTCTTATATCGGCCGTGATAAAAAAAAATCGGTTGGCACATGCTCTGTATAGGGGAGTTACATCCATATATAAACCAACGGCAACATCCGTGAACTCTCTGTTCGATGCTGAGATGTCTAGCTTAGAAAGGCCGCCTCCTCGGTT